GCTTGAGGGCATGGTCAGGTCTAGTGAAGATTTCTTAAAGATCTGGGTAATTTGCATGTTTGCTAAGGAAGTAGGGAAGGAACCAGTAGAGAAGAGGATGAAGATTCTAGAAAGGGGGGGGAGATGATTGAGGTTGTAGTCTACTGGGAGAAGATAGGACGAGATGACCTTAAGAATGCATGTAGAGAGGTTGGTGCTGATCAGTATAAGGGCTGCCTCATTATCAGAGATTGGAGGAAAGGAGGAGAGAGTGTGAGATGATGCCAAGATGAAAAAAAAAGATGCTAAGAGGGAGCTTATGGCCTCAATTTTGTCATTAAAGTAGGAGGCAAGGTTTTTAACTGATTGGCGGGGTTGGACTGTGGGAGGCCTGAGAGAGACAGAGGAGGTTTGAAATAGTTTCCGAGTGAACAAGATAGGCAATCAATTAGGAAGAAATAAAAGGATTACCTTGCGGCAATGAGGACTCAGTGGAAGTTGGACAACATGACTTGATAATATACCTGGACAGCATAGTTGTGTGACTTCCTCTAGCTCCATTCAGTCAATCAACAATCAGCCAACATTTGTAAAACACCTGCTGTGTGCCAGGCATTGTGCTGAGCCCTGGGGATACAAAGAAAGGCAAAAAAACCCCTAAAACCAACAAAAAACCAGTTTTGTCCTTCCAAAGTGTTCACCTTCTGATTGAGTAGCAGAGTAGGTGGTGAACAGGAGTAGAAGAGGTAGATGGTGGGTGTGGTCCAGAGCTGGGGTTTGGTAGGAGATGATGGGGGCAGTAGGGTAAGGGAGGCCTGGGATTAGAGAGTTGATGACCTTGTGTGGAGTTGATTAGTTGACTATAGGGTGGAAATGAAGAAGGGAGGAAAGTGGAGTCAGAGAAGGACTTATGTATTCTGAGAAAATATTGAGGTGAAGGAAGGAGGACAGATAGGAGACCCTGGCCAGACAGAGGAATATCAGAGTTTTTGATTGAGGAAGCAGGGGAGTGTACTTGTGGTTAATAGTGAGATTCAGGGCACAGGGTTAGGTAAGGCATTTAAGTGGGAAAGCACAGTGTATATAATAATTTTGTTTGCATGGGCCTCAAAATATGTAGGAAAAAAATGTATGAGCTAAAAAGCAGGAAAGGTAAATAAACTAGGGTCTCATTGTTGAGGACCTTGGAAGCCAGACAGAGAAGGGAGCCTTTGAAAGATTTTGGGTTAAAGAGGGTCTTGAGTGCCATACACTGGATTTAACAAATCCTCTTGTTACTGGCCTTCAAGATTCCTATTCATTCAACTACATGTTTGCTGGAGCCTTATTAATGGAAAATTTTTAATTTTCATTTGATTTTCTTTTCTAGAGTATAGTATAATATAGTATAATATGATATGATATATGCTATAATGTAATGTAATATGATGTAATATGACATATATAACCTATACCACACAATGTAACATAATAATATAATAAAATGTAACATACCATTTATAGAGCTCTTTAAGGTTTGCAAAGTACTATACATTTATCTCATTTGATCCTCATGACAACCCTGTGAGGAAGATAGAATTATTATCCTAGTTTTACAGATGAGGAAACTGAGGCCAAGAGAGGGTGAGTGAGTTGCTCCAGGTCACACAGCTAATAAGTATCTGAGGCAGAATTTGAACTCAGGTTTCCCTGCTTACACATAGATATATACCACTAGAGAAACAAACATGAGACAAATGTTTCTGTGATATAAACAAAAATTGTGATTATATCACAAATACTTAATTTTTGGCTTATTACTTTTTAACATTTAAAGGACACTGTGACCATTACAATGGCAGGGTGGTGTAGTGTAGAGATAATTCTAGATTGGGAGTCAGAGGCCATGAGTTCAAGTCCCGTCTCTGACTCTTGCTACCTTGTGTAACCTTGGGCAAATCATTTAGCCTCTCTTATTTCATGTCCGTGACCCTTTTCTTCTGTGAACCACTTGAAAACTTTTAGAAGTTATTCTAGCTTTAAACCAAGGTGAAATGAAAGCAGAAATATTAGCTGAAGCAGGGAAAAGCGAAACTGATTAATTTTAGGCTTTAGATTAGATTGGAGTTTCCATCTTGCCAACCCAGATGCATTAATATTTTTTAAACAGGTAAAAAAAAATGCCATGAAATACTTTGTGTAATTGTAAAATATCCAGAGGGAAATTAGAAATAACATCTCAGCTCCTAACTCCCTTGCCAGCATTTGAAAGCCAAGAACATATTGTAAAGAGGTCTCAATCCCAGAAAAGAATTAAATTAACTTTGTGTTATAGCTGAGGGAAGGGGCCAAAGAGAAAATGGAGAATAAACACACTTGAGAATTTTGCACTGAAAAAAATGGAGCAAAGTTCCATCATCTACATTTATGTTTCTCAAACTGTGCTGCTGGTTTCTAGGAGCAATAGGGATAAGAGTAATTTTTTTTTAAACTTTGAAGTATACTTGAGTGTGGTGGTATGAGAAATTTTATTTAGTGTTCTTTTTGTTATGTTTACAAATGTTTGCAAAAGCACCTCCTGAGAAAAAAAGGTAATAGAACTTTAGAGGTGGGAGGGGCATTAGAAAACTTGTTCACCCCCTTCAGTAATAATGATGATGAGGGTAATAGCTAACATTTATATAGTGTTTTAAGGTTTGCAAAGTGCTTTATAAAGATTATCTCATTGTATCCTCACAACACAACCCTGGAAATAATTACTGTTCCATATAATGTCATATATATTAACAATATGTAATGGATAATTACAGTTATATAATATACAGCACATTAATAATAAATGATATATTGAATAATATGTAATATATAATCACTGGGACTAATTACTGATATATATATAATTATTATATATTATATTAATATAATTATTAATATATTATATATTATTATATACTGATATAATATATAATTACTGTTATGTAATAAGTACTTTAATAATCCCTTCTTATGGATAAAAAAACTGAGGCATATAGGTTAAGTAACTTGCCAAGGATCACACACTTAATGAGTATCTGAGGTTGGAATTGAACTCAGGTGTTCATGACTGCCGGTCTAGTGCTCTATTTGTTCTGCCACCTGTTTCTTTTTCTTTTTTTTTCTTTTTGGTTAAGGCACACGGGGTTAAGTGACTTGCCCGGGGTCATACAGCTAGTAAGTGTCAAATGTCTGAAGCTGCATTTGAACTCAGGTCCTCCTGACTAAGAAGGCCAGAGCTCTATCCACTGCACCACGCAGCTGCCCCTGTACTACCTGTTTCTTATGCCTCTTAAACAACTTGCCTAAAAGCGCACAGGTAGTAAACACATTCAGGCTTTGAACCCAGGTCTTTTCTTCTATACTACGTAGGTAGTGCCCTTTGTTAAAAAGTTAACCTGTTCCCCATCACCTTATCAGGTATGTGGTAAGGGAGAAAGAGTCTGTCTGACTTTGATTTCATTGGACCTGGCTTCACATGTGACCTCTGTGCTTGAGTGAATTAACTTGTCTGGGCCTCATTTTCCCCCTCTGTAAAGTGAGGAGATTTGACTAACGGTCTGTGAGATTCTGTCCAGCTTTCAGTCTCTGGTTCTCTTACAGAATGTTAGAGATGGAGGAAGGAAGTTTGGACATCTAGTCATCTTCATTTGAATCAGAAAAGACTGATAAGCACCAGGGAGAGAATTGGTTTAATTGTAACAGACCTTGGCAGAAAAATGATTTATCATTGTGGTTGATAATGATCTTTACTTTGCTTTCTCTGCTTTCTCTTTTCCCAGTTATTTTGCTATTTCTTATGCTTTTCTTTACTTCTCGAATAACAACCTCATATCAATCCACCCTCTTCCCTTCATCCAAATGCCGTCTCAGCAGGAACCTTTGTCTGTGGTGGTGGGTTGAGTCAGATTCTTAAGGTTTTCTCCCTCCTAGTAATTTTCCATCCCTTTATTTTTTTTCTTTCTATTTCTCTGTGTGTTTTTGTTGGTTGTTTTAAAAGATGACTTCAAGGAAGGTGATTTGCACAATGTTTGGAAGGTGATGCTTACTCAGAGAACAGTCTTTCCTTTCAAGTTTTAGGTTTGATGTCTAGTTTTTTTAGCTCAGGTGAAAAAGGACCAGGCAACTAATAACAGCCCACTTGTTCACCTTTGCCTGCAGGATTGGAGAGTAGCTAGGAGAGGCAGTCAGAGATGGAAGGAGAGTTAGTGAGAGGCTGCTGAGTGAAACTGAAGTTAACATTAACTCTATTCCCTAGCACCTTGGCCTACGGCTGGTAACCAGTTACTCCATTAATTTGTTCCTGGTCTGTGCTGTCAAGATTATGTAATAACAGAGAGGAGTCACTGTTGGCTGCAGTTGCTATTTAGGAAAAAGTAAAATAATATTTAACGTTTATATAATGTTTTAAAGTATGGGAAGAATTTTGCAGGCAAAATATTGGGAAAGGTGTAAATCTTCAGATCAGCATATTGGGAAGGGTACATACTAGGGGAAAATATTTGCAAGTCAGTAATGGTAATTAGGTTGAGTTTGGCCACATATTATCTTCCTGAAATGTTTCCAGTGCTTCCCAGTGTGGCTGCTCAATCTGACTGCCTGTTGTATTAATTTTTGTGGGGGGGAGGGGTGGTTACCCACCAGAAAAAGAAACATCTATAGTCACAGATCCGTTTATTACTTTTCCTCATAATAATTACCTCTGGTTTTGCCCATTTAATCTAATTTGCAGTATAACTTGTGATTGTTATAGAATATCTGGAGCACAGTAAGCTCTTAATATACGCTTGCTGATTGATTCTCTCTACTGTCAAAGTATTTAATATGTATTAAGTCGAACCTCACAGTGGACTCCTGGGAGAGGTAATGTTTCGATTAAAAGAATGGCAAAGTGAGTGGATGGAGAAGCTGTAGCCATGTCCATTGGTAGAAGCAGGAATGTATATCATCTATATGATATAGCACATTTTTTCCTCTTATTTACAAATTTTTTTTCCTCTTCCTGTCAGGTCTAGAAGAAAGTAAACCTGAGACAAGAACCTCACGAGATGAAGATGAAAACAAGAAATTCATAAAAATGTGGTTCAGCCCTCGTAGCAAGAAGGTCAGATATGTCCTAAATAAAACTTCAGTGCAGACCCATCCGAAGCCAGTTGAGGATGAGCAGGTTTATCAGGCCTTTGAATTTAGTTCCTCGTCCCTTGAGCAAGATTCTCCCCAGAGGCCTAAAAAAGTAACCAGGAAAACCAGAAAAAAGCAGAAAAAGAGAAGTTTAGCCGAAATTAATCAGGAATGGGATTTAGAGAAGGAAAAGCAAAAAGAGGTCCAGGAATTTGATCAGAGTACCAGCGAGAAACTTAGAGAAAAGTCAGTCTCATTCTGTATTCAGCCCTCTGTTCTCGAGACCCCAGAACTAAATGGTGGTATAGATTTACTGAGTTATGCCTCTGCAACAGAGGCCAGTCCTGCTGAAAAGGCGAGTGAGATCTGCCCATCAGCCGCCATGCAAGTAGATTCTGTAGGAGTCGATATAGATAGCGAGGTAGCATCATCTCACATGGAATCTCTTGGTGAGAATAGTTTTACATCAGAGACATCCCTGCTATTGAATAATGGTGGAACAAGTGAGACGCAGCCCCCTGACTCTTTTGTGGTGCCTGTTTCTAAAAGACCTAGAAGAAGAAGCCAGCAGAAATCCAGAAGAACATCTGTCAGTCAAGATACCCACACAGAGTCGTTACCGCCATCTGAAGATAATGCCTCATCTCCCACATCCAAATGTATAGTTGATGACCCATTATTAACGGCAAGAATCAGTGATGTATTAAATGACTCTATTAGCTTTTCCCCTTCAAAATCTTCTGGCACTCCATCATCATCCATAATGAATAGCCCTTGTCGACGGGGGGTGGTGTCTAGCCCTTCCACTGTGAGGCTGTCTCCCACTAGCCCTATGACCGTCAAGAGAAACCATAGAGGAGAAACTCTGCTCCATATTGCTTCTATTAAGGTAAGCTCTCTTTGATGAAAATCATTTTGGAATAAAAGTAAAAACAAAAGTATGTTTGGAACATAGATTATACCTCAGGAATAATGGCTAATAAGATAATTCAGAAGTTTCACAATTTCTTAGAAATGCAGAAGCAAAATTTATTGGGGCCTTTTCTCATTTTCATTATACACATGTACACAGACATTTATACACATGGAACACACACATATATACACATATGCATTATATGTGTGTATGTGTATACATGTGTATATATATGTATGTGTGTACACACACACACACCCCAAGTTTAAATTTTTTTAAAATGATATCATTTGTTTTTCCACCAATCTGATTTCTCCTTTTCCTTTTTCCCTTGAAACAAAGAAAAATATTTAAAAGTAAAACCAAGTGAGGCAATGACCTTGTCTGACTGGGTATATTGCCTTCCATGTCTGTGGTCCTCCCACGTCTCTGTTGAAAGGAGAGTCATGTGCTTTATAGTCAGTTCATTACAGTTCATCAGAATTCAGCTGTCTTTTAAGTGGTGATTGTGTGATTGTAGTTATTGTGTATATGATGCTTTTGTTTCTGCTTTCTTCACTTGCTTTTCTGAATTCCTCATACTTTTAGTTTGTGATATGTAGTAATATTCCACTATATTCATATACCACATTTTATTCTGCTTCAGTTTTCTCTCAGTTGACACACTCCTATTTTATCTGTTTTTTTGCTACTATGTGGAGTGCTATTAAGACTACTTTATAGTCTTATATATGAATATACACACACACACACACACACACATACACACACACACATATATAAGATATAATATGTGTTACATATATTATACATAAGACATATATGACTATATAGCATATATATGCTATACTGTGTCATATTGCTGTAGTTCAGTTGTGTTCAGTCATATCCAACTCTTCATGACCCCATTTGGGAGTTTTCTTGGCAAAGATACTGGAGTGGTTTGCCATTTCCTTCTCCAACTCATTTTACAGATGAGGAAACTGAGGGAAACAAGGTCAAATGACTTGCCCAGAGTCACACAGCTAGTAAGTGTCTGATGTCAGATTTGAACTCAGGACTTCCTGACTCCAGGCCTGACACTGTATCCACTGTGCCACCTGGCTGTCCTCTGTGCTATATTACCTTGCATTAGATATTGTGTTGTATTATGTTGTATTTAGTTATAGGAGTAGCAGAAAGAAGCTTAAGTGCAGTCTTAATCAAGCCTGCATTTTTTTTTATGGTTGTTTATGCAGGTAAAAAGCAAAGGATTGGGAAATTTACTGGCTACTGGTCAGGGAGGACTAGAGTCTGTTTGTATGTGTGTATGTATATACTTGTAATATCTTTCTTTCAATCAATCAATATTCATTATTATTATTATATATAATATGTAATTATATAATATATAATGTTATACATATAATAATATATAATATATTACATATATCACATACCATATATTACATATACATATTACCTATATTATAATCAGCATCCAGCATTTATTACTTGCTTATTCTGTGCCAGATACTGTGCCAAGTAAGCATCCAGGTTAGAAAGGAAAAGTAAAAACAAGTTTTTGCCCTCAAGGCCTGATGTTCTGATGGTGGAGACAGCATATATTAAAATCAATACATAGTAATAAATACAGGATAGAGAGAAGGTCGCCTTGGAGGGGGAGAAGGCATTCGTGTCCATTGAGTTAACTGTTTTAGTTTGTGATATATTACAGACTGAGATTAGACTTTGTGCAGATGCCAGTTAGGCTTCTCCACCTTGCCACCGGGCACTGCTGGAGCATGCTCTGTAGGAGAGAGAAGGTAACAGCTGTGTTATGCATGTCCGTTGTGAGCTGGTAGCTCAGAGGGAGCAGGAGCTATGCATGAAATTATCCTGTCTTCAGCCTAAGCCTTTGCAATTCATATTTTAGTTCCATCTCTTGAAAGCTGCTCATACTACCTTTTCATCATCTTTTAAAATATATATTAATTACTATTACAGTATAGTCCTTAATTTGCTAGTATGTATTATTATAGTAATTTTCCTCTCAGAAGATTGATTTCACTAATGAAGCAAAGAGCGTTGTTATTTAGTAATTAGTCATGGAAGGGATAACAACACGCTGTACTTAGGTGATTTGAAAGTTCCAAGGATGGGATTGCTTATTTTTTAAAAAAAGTAAAAAAGATTGTAAATTGGAGTTTTAAAATTGTCCCGCTGGGTCTTTCAGTAGAGTGGCAGGTTTAGCATTTTTCACAGCAAAGTTAGTTTGCTTAAACCTTAACTTATCAGATCTGACTCCCAGAAGTCCTCTACTGAGAAATGGGAGACCTGGTAGGATTTGTTTTCACATGCAAATTGTTTCTCCTAGGTAGGGTAAAGCTAATTTGTATGAGTACATAGCCTCTCCCCAAAGGTTAATTTGCAGTGTTCTTGGTTGAAAATACTTCCTAGATATTAAAGAATTACTACCACCTCCTGTCCCTGTACCCTCTGTTCCTATATTCTTGGAGCTGCAGAAAAATTTTTAAGTCCCTGGATCTTCTCTAACAGTGGAATTGTTAGGGAAATAAGGCGCTGTGTGTGTGTGTGTGTGTGTGTGTATGCAAGTACATTTCATCTGGGTTAAAGAAATCTATGGGTTATGGCATATATTGTGATTATCAACCTAAAAAGTACACGTGCAAGGATTGCACAGAGGCCTCAGATGTCAGAAAGTATAATGATCCAAAATGTAGTAAATGTGTTCATGAAAAGTTGTGTGGGTAGAACTTCTGTAAATCAAATTTTATCCTCAGTGCAGTAGAGAACATTACTACGTAGAGGATCCCTGCAGTGAGTTTATTTCTCCAAAGAAATTTTGTATATGTGAACAAACATGCCTCTGATTTACATGATGATAAGAGGTCACTTTAATATCGTGGTTTTCTCATAATTTACGGGTGAGGTAAGTTCTTGGTTGTACATCAGATTTGTTTCACTTGAAGGATGCATACAGTAGTTTTCATAGTTGACTAAAGAAATAGCTGTATACGGGGTAGTGGGAGAGAGCACCAGCCCTGGAGTCAGGATCTGAGTTCAAATCTGGCTTCACATACTTACTAGCTGGATGGCCCTGGGCAAGTCACTTAACCCTGAGTGCCTCCAAAAAAAAAGAAAAAAGAAAGAAAAAAAAGAAATAGCTGTCTACATTCATGAAAAGTCACATTTTTGCACTTGAAAGGGACTGTACAAATTATCTTGTCCAACTCTTGTTATTTTGTAGATGATGAAAATGGGGCCCAGAAAAGATGAATGACTTACATAACATTCTGCTTTTAGGGACATGTCTGGGACTGGAGTTCGGGTCTCCTGAGCACTGGCTTATAGTTCCACATATGTCAATCAGCAAATGTTTGGGCTAGATAGTGGGGACTGGAGATAGGGATTGGTTGAGTCTCTGTTTTCATTGATATGGAAACCTACAGCGGGTAAGTACCTTGTAGGCTTAGAGATTTACCTAGACCTCTGAGAAGTTCCCTGACCTGTGCAGTCAGTATTTTCCAGAGGTGGATTTAAACTCAGTTCTTCCTGGCTCCAAGGCCAGGCCTATTCCACTGTGAAGTGCTGCCTCTCTGGTACTGGGGGTCAAAGACCAGAGTGAAGAAGACCAAGTATCTGACCTCAAGGAGCCTGTTACATTCTTTAGAGGGAAATCCAGAAGGCAAAAATAGAAATATTTGCTCTTTTTTTGAAGTAGTGAGAAAGTACCTTTCAGAGTCCCTGTCATTGCTTTATGTGTGTAGGCACAGGCATGTGGATATATTTAAAATGATTAGTACTTCAAAGGCCTGTGATTTAATCAGTATGAGTACTCCTTTCAGCCACACAGCTTGTAGGCCCCTCTTTGCCTCAGTTGAGGCAAATTTAACCGTCAAAGGGTTTTTGTGTTGTTGTTTAGTAATTTTTCAATCTTATCTGACTCTTCATCACCCTGTTTGGAATTTTCTTGGCAAATATACTGGAGTGGCTTGTCGTTTCCTTCTCCAGTTCATCTTACAGACAAGGTAACTGAGGCAAAAAGGGTTAAGTGACTTGCCCAGAGTCACATAACTAGTAAGTGTCTGGGGCCAGATTTGGACTCATTAAGATCAGTGTTCTTGATTCCAGGTCTAGTACGCTATTCACTTATACTGCCTAGCTGCCCATTCAAGGGGTTAATGTCACCAAAATGAATCATTATCTGCTTACTAATCTTCTAGTAATATGAGCTTCTGAATTGAGCTGTGCTAGCCGTTAAACAACAAATAGAGAGTTCGTCTTGGGCTGTTTTTTCAAAATCTTAGCCAGGGCTAGGGAACCCCCTGGTTAGACATTTCTGGTGCAGACTTGGTGAAGGGAAGGCCTGTGGTCATCATGACACTGTGATGTTAATGGAAGCTATGTACAAAAGTTAAGTTTTAGAACTCTTAAATTTAAAATAAAGAAGCCAGCCCCAAATCTTTCAAGACCATTTTTACACTTGGTTTGTTGGTTCACACTCGTGACGTGTGAAGTACATCGGGTACTTTTTAGTAATTATTTTACATCATACCCTGAAATATACCTTGTAAGCGTTCAGTACTTGAAAACCTGTTACTTTTAAAACAATTATCCTTTTCCTTTCTTCTTTTGTTGGATGGTTAATGTTTGTAGTTAAAGGGTGGGATACTTTAGAGTTTACTCAATCTAAATCATTCTTCTTACTGCCCTGAATAGCAGTTGTTTTAACGCACTGCTGGTCAGGGTCCTTGGCCCATGAACATCTCAGTCTCCGAAAGGGTTGCAGACCTTATGAATGCAGACAGCTGAGAAGTTGCCGCTGAGCTAGCTGCCTGTCACAGGGTAGCCTGGTACTGCCAGATATGGACATGGTTTAGTGTGTACCTGCAGCCCTTGGTCAAGCACTCTCCTAAACCTGAGGGGTTAGAAGATCTGGCCTACCCACTTCTGAACTGACCTGGAAATTC